ATCTTGGCTGTAAATATGTCTGTATGTGCTAATGTTCTGGTACAGACTAAAAAATATAAGCGCAAACGCTGACTCACTTTGCTCTGCTTTAAGCTTTAGCTCAACTATAGCCGCTTTTCTCACATCTCCAGCAGGAAACTCTTCCGAAAAAGTAGAATAGTCGATTTTTCCTGTTCCACCTTAAATGGTGCTTAAGGTGCCAGAATGTAACTGCTGCACCATTTAAGGTGGAATGGGAAAATTCAAACAGAAAGCTGGCGAACAAGAAGCTGACTTAAGCTTCATGACTTTTTAGTGTTTGATAGTTTCTCGCTGCAGATTAAACGTATCAGGAATCCAGCTGGAGAGCTTATAAATGAAATGAGTCCATTTGTCTCTAAATTATTGATGTTTGTCTTAAATCTTTCTCTTTGCCTTTTTGGTAGCTACTAGCTAGACAGATGTCTGTGTTGCTGTGGTGACCAGCAGTCTGCGCTCCAACCTGCTGGGTTACAGGATGAATTAGCAGTTATAGGCTACATGAACTCCATCTTTTAAGACCATTTAGTGTTAAAACTGTGTCGAATGATCAGCAGAGCTTTATTTTACGGCAAAGGAGGATTATTTTATTTTACCTAAAACTCTAATTCTGCTGTAGAGCCACAACAGGGCAGTAAAAGAGTTGAATGTTGCTGACCCCTGCCGTCAACCAATTAATCAAATTTAATTGGGATCAAGTAATCGATTTCTTCCACGCCTGTTGAATCTAAACCTAAATCTAGAGTCATGATGTGAGGATGCTTTGCTGCTTCAGTGACTGGATGCCTTACTATAATTGTCAGAACAATGAATTCTGCTCACTGCCATAAAATCCTGCAGGAGAACATGCGGCCATCAGTCTGCGATATGAAGCTCAAGCACAGCTGGGTTACACAGCAAGACAACAATCTGAAGCACAAGAGCAAGTCCACCTCTGAACAGCTCAAAGGAAGCAAAATCAAGGTTTTGGAGTGGCCTAGTCAAAGTCCTCGTTTGAACCCCTTTGAGATGCTGTGGCAGGACCTTAAATGGGCAGTTCATGCTCAGAAGCCCTCCAGTGTGGCTGAATTAGAGCACTTATGTAAAGAAGAGTGGGTCAAAATTCCTCCACAGGACTTTAAAAGACTGATCTCCAGTTACAGGAACCGTTTGATTATGGTTGTTGCTGCTAGAGGTGGCAAAACCAGTTTTTAGGTTTTGGTGGGCGCATACTTTTTTACAAAGGAGTGATCATTAGATCATTTCCCTATTACAGGACATATCAAATCATTTTTGTGATGCAAATTCAGCCTCACTGAAAATCATAGTCAGACTTTTCCATTGAAAACCACTGCAGGTCAACGCTGTCAATCACAGAGCTCACAGGGCTGCAGCATTAGAGGATACGGTGTGATGTCAAAGGCACAGTTTGAGCCTTTACTACAACTAAGGTCGGATAGTAGTGTTAAAAGGTCAGAGGAGCCAACAGCTGAAGCCACACAATAAAGCCAACGAATCCCTCAGTGACCTTTAAAGGGGAATTCCACCCATTTTTCTAAATTTCTGCATAATTTAATCACTGAACTGCAAACAGAGTCATTCAGAGTGGCTTGATGTGAAATGATTAATTGTAGAGAAACTTACACACTCTGATTTCTTTACAGTGGTGGTGATAGGAACCAGGGGTCACAATGTTTGTAACACAAATATAGCCATTTTATTTACTATCCACAACCACCAGTGAACCTACATGTGTTTTCTGAGTTTGTAGATGTGACATTGATGATGGTAAAGTAGAGGTAAATCTGAAAAAATAAGTGCATGTACCTCTCTACCATGAATATTTTGTATACTCAGTGAATGAATAGTACAGAAATTCTGACAAATCAGTGGAATTGCCCTTTAACATTAAACTCAACATTACACATATAATTTCCTCTGTTGCTGAAAGGTCTACAGTCTGTATCTGCTCAATTAAAATAGTCAAAAATAAACAGAGATGTTTACTAATTCTGGTCAACACATTAGCTAATCAAGATGTCTTTGTCCCCTCAATAGCATATACCGCCCTCTAAAGGACAGACTTGGAATCGCAGCTTAAAATCAGGCCGTAATACAAAATCAAAACAATGGAACAAATGACTGACCTTTCACCGAAACAGAAAAATACCTGTGTAGTTGCTTTAAGATCAGGTGATCTGTTCAGGATCTTCTCCTTTTAAAGGGCCAATGTCACAGAAAATCTAATTTCTCTTGTATCTTTTGAGATAAAAGAGTTTAGTGCAGTATTTAAACATGGTTAAAGTTTCATAAAGTCCATATATGTATACCAACCTGCCTGTTTAGAATTCAGTATTTATGTGATGTCACAAAAATAAGCCCATTTACACATACCAAGCTGCTCAGCCTACCACAGTTTAGTGCCACTCAATCACCCTGAAGTTATAAGTAGTGTTTCAGCCCGGACTACTTTAGGAATAAGGGCAGCCAATCAGAAAACAGCTGATTTAAATGTATCAGTCTTAAATGCACAGCCTGTTTAATGCTAAGGGATGAAGAGGGACTGGAAAACGCTCATGTAAAATGAATAATGACTGTTTTAGGTACATAAAACCACACAAGCATTATAATTGGAGGGATTGATAATTGAGGGAGAAAAAATAAAATACAACAAAAATGTTGAATATGGGCCCTTTAAATGCTTTTACCAAGGCTTTTAACATAGTTCTTGGCACGCTGTCATTAGCTAAACCAACAGGTTGATCCACACAGCTGAGGTTTTTATTAGGAGTCCAGTGCTATTTCATGAAGAACCCTAATGCAGTTAAACCAAAACTTGAGCCATGGTGGCTGTACCTGTGGGATTAATTAGTGCATGTGGAGGAAGCAGTCTTATTGTTCCATTGTTAGCTGCCGTGTTATGGTTTCTCCCTGAGGAACGTGAACTGAGAGGAAGATCATTCAACACAACACTCACACACTCTCCTTGTTAGAATAATCAGTCTGCATTCAGTTTTCCTAAAGCACTAGAGTATTAAAGTGGATTTCCACCAATATTCCAAATTTTTTGCGTAATTAAATTGTCAAGATGTAAACAAATGAATTCAGAGTGGTTTAGTGTGAAATGGCTGCTCTAGATGAACTTACAGAGTCAGAATTGATTACAGTGGTGGTGATAGGAACCAGACGTCCACCTCTAAAAGCTCCCTTGTGGGAAGTTATAACTTGACATGGCTATGCATGAGTTGCCTGCATCATCAACATTACATTAAATTCAATATTTAGAAGATGCTCGCTGGTCATTCTGGATAGTCTCTGTATTTGTGTTGACCCCTGGTTTCTATCACCACCACGGTAAAGATTGAAACTTTATCATAAAACTATCACAAAATAATGTTGTTGACATCAGGCTGAGTATTAATGACCATTTCATGTAATAACTGTCTGTGAGGGAGCTTTTACAGGCATGAAACTCTTCAGACGTCTGGTTCCTATCACCACCACTGTGATCAGTTCTGTCAGTTTCTTTTGAATGAAGCATTTCACCACTTTGAAAGACTTCGTTTACACCATCACAATGGAGTTCTGCAGAAATTTTGAAAAATTGGTGGAATTCTCCTTTAACTAGCTATGGGTCCTTTGCCCTGCTGCGAGCGGCATAACACGCAAAGCTATTTTTAGAAGCCGTACCTCCACCTGCCAGAGTGCCACTGTAACGACAAGCCTCCAAAACGAAGCACGCAGCCAAAGACCAACGCTAAGCACAAAAGGCCTCACAGGAGCATGTCTAGATCTTTAATGCTCACCAAGACAAACAAGCATGGACTGATTAGCAAACTGTATAATCAGTGCTCATTTTTCATTCTTATGAACTGTGTGATTACGATCGTCTACAAACAGTTAAAGTCTTAGTCTCTATCTCTACAGTGTTGTAGACCCACCAAGATTGGATCATCTACTAACAACTACTACTGAAGACTTAGCAACCATACAATCCATTAACAGTAACAGGGTCTTAAGATCCACCATTATGCAAAGTCGCAGGATTCACCAGGATGTGGATCATCTACTAAGAGCCGCTAAAGTCTTTGGGGCTTAACAATATTGCAGATCCAATATCTACAGTGTTGGAGATCCACTATGTTTAGGATCATTCACTAACACCTGCTTAAGTATTATCTACAGGGCTTTATCAACAGCTGCTAAAATATTTGGATCTCTATAGGGCTGTAGATCCACCATGATAGGAATCATTTACCAACAGCTGCTAAAGTCTTAGAACCTCCACAGTGCTGCAGATCCACCATGATGTGGATAAATACCAACAGTTGCTAAAGTCTTTGGTTCTCCACAGTGTTGGAGACCCACAGTGATGTACATCATTCACCAACAGCATCTAAGTCTTATCTACAGGGCTGGAGATCCACCACAGTGTGGAGCATTTACCAACAGCTGCTAAAATATTTGGATCTCTACAGTGTTGAAGATCCACAAAGATGTGGATCGTTTACCAGCAGCTGAAAATCTCAGGATCTCTCCAGGGCTGTAGATCCATCACTATATGTATCATTTATAGCTGCTAAAATCTTAGAACCTCCACAGTGCTGCAAAAACACCATGATGTGGATATTTCACCAACAGCTGCTAAAGTCTTATCTACAGGGCTGGAGATCCACCTCAGTGTGGATTCTTTTGGATCTCTACAGTGTTTTAGATCCACAAAGATGTGGATTGTTCACCAGCAGCTGAAGTTTTAAGATCTCTACAGTGTTGAAGATCCACCACAATGTGGATCATTCTCCAATAGCTGCTAAAGTCTCAGGATGTCTACAGGGCTGTAGGTCCACCATGATGTGAATCATTCATCAACTAAAGTCTTAGAAGCTGCTGCAGTTTTAGGATCCCTTCAGTGCCGTAGATTCTCCACAATGCTTATGATAAACTAACAGCTGCTAAAGTCTTAGGATCACTACAGTTTTTCAGACCCACCATTACATCCTTACCTGAAGTCCGGGGTCAGGTTGGGCTTCAGTCCGTAGAAGCCCGCCGACAAGGTCAAAAGCCACCTGGGGATGAAACTGCCATCCTCGCACTCCAAGTATGGAGCCGACCACCTAACATGAGTTTTGTCAACGACATAATTCTCCCCATTCCCCCGTTTCTCATCATGGGATGCGGAATCCCGATTTGTCCCTCGCTCGTGGGAGCGGGTCCTCTTTCTGCCCCGGTGGTCATGGTACCACGCTGTGTCGGCTGTCTCGTTCTGCAAACCGTGGCGTGCTGGGGTGGCAGACAGGTCCTGCAGGACAATTTCCCCTCCAGCACGCGTGGCCTGCAGGAAGACGTGGGGTGCGTGAGAGCCAGAGGCAGCGGAGGAAGAAGACCCTGCGCTGAAGGCGAGAACGGCACGGTGGATCCTGGCGTCGCCCTCCAGGATGCTGCGGACCAGCGCCCGGTACCAGTCGACGTCCCGCCTGAGGCTCTGCTCACGTGTGCCGTTGGCCCGGAGTAAAGCGCTGAGGAAAGTGGACGCATGAGTGACAGCATCCAGCGCGCCATGCACAGCCCGGTGGGGGCTCGTCCGGGATCGGCCGCGCTGCCCACTCAGCTCGTACCTGCCTGAGCAGTTAGCGTGGCGCAGCGCTGAGGAGTCTCCCGTCTGCAGGAACTCCGTGACGACACTTGGACGCTGCTGGTCATCAACGTCCCGGTTCCACCGGACACCCCACCGGTCGGGGGGCTTGCGGAGAGGCTGTTTGCCCGCCATCCCTCGGTCTCGCTGCGACCACTGCATGTACCCGAAGCTGGACCCAATAACGAAGCCCACTTGCAGCAGCAGCATTAGTCGGGTCATGGCCATCCTTTGCTTTAATGAATCTTCCCCAAAATATTTTACTATTTTTCTTCAAGATGCACCAAAGAAAGTAAGAAGAAAACAGCAGCGATTCAGCAAACAGCAGAGCACATCATGTTTTCTACCTTTTCACCTGTAGCCTGTTCACCGTGCCGCTTTCCTCCCACCTCACGACTGCCCACGAAAACACTGACGCTGTCAAACCCACGAGTAAATTCCTGCTTCTTTCCTTCTGTGCTTTTTTTCTCCTCCCCCCTTTTTTCCTCCCCACACGCGCAGGACTGTTACATTTGTCTCGCCCGTGTGCGCATCCCGCTCGTCGTCGTTGTTTCTCAGACTCCCTCCGTTCCCTTCTGCTGCTGCTGCTGCTGCTGTATCCAATCCATGTAGATGCCCAAACAGGTTTCTGACGTCCTCCTTAGGAAAGAGAGAGGGGGATCTTTTTACCTCCTTCTTCTTTTTTTGCAGTGGCTACTTTCACACTTTGGAGGACAAAAAAAAAAAAACACACAGACACATACACACACATACATATATACATACATGCACGCGCACACTCCGCCCTCTTCCGAGCACTAGTCTGGTCCAGTTAGAAGCATAAAGACGGGCAGAAACCATTTGCTCTTCAATCCCGTCTCCTTCATTTTCTTATAGGGTTTCCAAAGTGCCCTTGGCTCGTGTTTGGACGCGGCTTCTGTCAATCACTCGAGGCTGAGAGCGTTAGGTGGAGCTGGAGGAGCTGCGCGCGGCGTCACTTCAGCTCCACAGCGGCACGGTGAGGGTTGCCAGATTGGGTCGTTTTCACCCACACATGTCCAGTGTTAATCACTTTGGGCTGGAAATATGAAAAAGGCTTCGGGCTCGTAGACATAAAATTGAGCTGTTTTTTCTGTATTATTTTTAATATTATGTATTATTTTATTAAACTTGATGTTACCAAAGCCAACGTGCTATAATATAATTCACATGTGGTTTTATCATGCGTTAATTAGCATATCCAAACATCATTTCGCTATAACCACCAACAACAAAAACAATAATAATAATAATAATAATAATAATAATAATAATAATAATAATAATAATAATGTACATTATGCATTATTTTCATTTGCTGCATTCATTTGAGATTTGTATGAGTTTAGCACGATCTGTTTATAAGTTGTATTATGTTCAAAGTTATGTTACATAAGATGGTTCTCCAAGGGTTCTTTAGTGAAGACAGCGGTTCTGTGTAGAACCGTGAACACTCAAAGAACCGTCTGCATGCTTAAAGAGCTCTTTGCATTGTGGAAGGTTTTCTCAGATTGATGGAGAACGTGCTGTAGATTGTTCTATAGAGACCTGTTTTGAGAAGAGTTCTATATAGCACCCAAAAATGTTCTTCTATTATAACAAGCTTGACAAAAGGTTCTGTGTAGAACCGTGAACACTCAAAGAACCGCCTGCATGATTAAAGAGCTCTTTGCATTGTGAAGGGAGTTCTCAGATTAAAGTAGAACGTGCTGTAGATTGTTCTATATAGACCTATTTTGAAAAGGGTTCTATATAGCACCCAAAAATGTTCTTCTATTATAACAAGGTTTATTTTCATTTGCTGCATTCATTTGGGATTCGTATGAGTTTAGCACGATCTGTTTATAAGCTGTATTATGTTCAAAGTTATGTTACATAAACATATAGTATAAATATATAAGTTACATCATATTTCATGAGTTATATTCAGCTGTTCATCATCATGATTAAAATGTGCAGAAGGCTGTTCACTGTACAGGATGTTTCAACATATTTTCACTTCAATAAAACATGTCATTTGACCAGGGGAGCACTAACTTTTGCACATGAATATATTTCTGAAACACTATGAAGAACTGGATCTGAATGGGCGATCAGGATCACATGTTCTTACTGTCCATCTGTCAGCAGTTTGATTGATAGACATCCTAGTCTCTGTGTCCAGTGATGGTGTCTGCGATAAACATTTCAGATTACTGTGGTTTCATGTGCATTACTTTATTACACTAGAGTAACAATGTAAGCCATCTCTACACTGCTCTTTAGGTCTAAATTAAATTAGTAATATATGTCAGTATAATAATGACACCAGTGCACTTAATGTATTATGATAACTTTACAGGAAAAGGAAAAAACCTACTTTACTTTTACTGTAGATCAATGCAACCAGAGTTTTTTTCCCAAGTCATTTTAGGCCATTTCTGTTGGTCCATTCTTCATGTAATTTACACATAATCTAGAGGGCAACAGGTATTTTCAAATTATGTCAGAAAAACGAAAAACGACAAAAATGGAGATACAAGGTTTTCTTCCCACAGCAGTGATATGCAAACACATCCTCTACAAAGAACACACTTAAATATGGTAGTTTGCTGCAAATTAGTGCAGTATTTAATTAATATGTTGGCAAAAACAAAACATACAACCCAAAACCCTTTTGCACAGCCTGCTTTATTTGTTTTATGCTTAATGTGTTAAATTCAGCAAATAAGCAGTAATTATGCATTAAAGTGTGCAGAATTGTGTTCTCTGTAGAGGATGTGTTAAAGGGGAACTCCACCAATTTTTTTTCAAATTTTCTGCATGATTAAATGGTTAAGATGCAAACAAAGTCAACCAGAATGGTTTGGTGTGAAACGCTCTGTGCCAGAGAAACTTACAGAGTCAGAATTGTTCTCAGTGGTAGTGATGGGAACCAAACGTCCACCTCTAAAAGCTCCCTCACAGAAAGTTAGCACATGTTATGAATACTGATTCCTGAGACACTGTTTTATTATAGTTTTCTGATCAGATTTTGGCCTTATTTTTTTTTTATCCATTTATTGTCATCCATTCATGGAGTAGGAATACATGCAGGGCGTTGTGAGGCAAAATAGGACCTAAAAGAAAAGTCATTTTTTACATTTATCATTAGTTTATCATCAACAACATTATATATAAATGTAAGAAGACGTGTAGATTCACTGTTTTTTTTTTGGATAGTAAATAAAATGTCTATATCAGTGTTGTTGTCATGGTGACCCTTGGTTCCTATCACCACCACTGTGAAGAAATCTGGGTCTCTACATCGAACCATTTCACACCAAACCACTCTGAATTGACTCTGTTTACATCTCAACCACTTTTCACTGAGAAAATCAACAAAAATGTGTCATCTGACTGGGGTGCACAAACTTTTGCACACAGCCACTCTACTTTGCCTATTTATCCTTTCCTCTCTGGTCATCAGCTGCATCCGCACGCTTCAGCTATTTTATGCTTCAGTGTTAGTTTGACAAGCTTGGGCTGCTTCGCGATGAACAGAATGAGTTTTTTAATCCCACGACTGGGACGCAAAGCGCTCCAATCTGGCAACCCTGGCGCTAGGAGGAGCTGTCCAGTGCTGAAAGCAGCGCCCAGAGAAAACACCCACGGAGGCGCTGCGGGGGGAAAACAGCGCCTCGCTGAAGATCGAGCGAATTAAGGTCTCAGGTTTCCGTGAAGAAAAAAAGAAAAAAAGCAGCGTGTTGGTCTGAAACGCGCGCGAAGGCTGTGAGACGCTGCGCCCGCGTCAGCAAGACGACGATGTGTTTATGAGAAGAGGGGAGGGAGGGGGAAGAGGTCGGGGGGGGGGTGTTGAGGGGCAGAAGGAATAAGATAAAAACACGACACACAACAGCATCCACACTGCCGCTCGTGAGCGTTTCATTCACTGGTTCGCGAGAATGGCTCCACGGTCAGCTGAGCTCTCGGCTCCCCCTCTCTGCAGCCAGACTGCCGCTGCGTGACACTCACGCGCGCTTTGCACGAGGACCTGAGGTGCTTTCAGAGGTTAAAACGCCACCATCGCAGAGTGGAGACACTGCAGCAGCAGCAGCATCAGCAGCAGCATCAGCAGCAGCCCCCAAAAACGAAAACAAGGGGGCATGTAGAGGAGGGGGGCGTGGTGCAGCCCAGTGCAAAGCCACTACAAAGTTGTGAATCATGGTGCAATGAGTCATCGCTTAATCCGCCGGCCCATATCGGCGAGCGGCGCAGCGAACAGCGCTCTGTTTGCCCGTCTCTGTTTGCGTCAGTGGCGCAAAAATGAGTCAAACGTGTTTTTCTCAGACGCAGAACAGCACGATCACCGTCTGCAGCAGCTCGAGCTGTGTCCTCTACAGACATGACCAACCACTGCCTCGCACCAGCACTCAGCTCCACTCTCAAAAAAGATGGTTCTCCAAGGGTTCTTTAGTGAAGACAGCGGTTCTGTGTAGAACCATGAACACTCAAAGAACCGTCTGCATGCTTAAAGAGCTCTTTGCATTGTGAAAGGTTTTCTCAGATTGATGGAGAACGTGCTGTAGATTGTTCTATAGAGACCTGTTTTGAGAAGGGTTCTATATAGCACCAAAAAGCTTCTTCTATTATAACAAGCTTGACAAAAGGTTCTGTGTAGAACCATGAACACTCAAAGAACCGCCTGCATGATTAAAGAGCTCTTTGCATTGTGAAAGCGGTTCTCAGATTAAAGTAGAACGTGCTGTAGATTGTTCTATATAGACCTATTTTGAAAAGGGTTCTATATAGCACCCAAAAATGTTCTTCTATTATAACAAGCTTGACAAAAGGTTCTGTAACGAACCATCTACAGCACATTCTCCATCAATCTTAAGAGCCCTTTAACAACGCAAAGAACCTTTCAATCATACAAAGAGTTCTTTGAGTCTCCATGGTTCTATATAAGAACCATTTTCTTTGCTAAAGAACCATTTGTGTATACGATAGAAGAATGATTTTGGTGCTATTTAAAATTATTTCCAAAGTGAACACTTTTAGCAAAAAAAGGGTTCTGTATAGTACCAAAAAGGGGTTCTTTGGCTTGTAACAGCAGTGGAACTCTTTTTGGTGCTATACAGGACCGTTTTCAAAAAAGGTTCTATGAAGAACCATCTACAGCTCATTCTCCACCAATCTAAAGAACGCTCTCACCATGCAAAGCACCCTTTAAACATGGAGATGGTTCTGTG